ACCTATTTACTGCTAGGTAACAAGGGCATCAGGGTGAAAGAAACTCTGCCCATTGTTTCTCACCGGCGCCCGGGATTGAACCCGGGACCACAGGATCACGCGTACAGTGTTCTGTCTGCTCAGCCACCAGCTCCCTGGTGTCCCTTCTTCCCAGCACTCTGTCATATAACGCTTTGAACCTACTGACTGTTTTGACCTCCACCACCTTCAAGCTTAACTTGTTCCAACCGTCTACCACTCTGTTTGCGAAAGTGAATTTTCTTATATTTCTTCGGCAGCTTTGTTTACTTAACTTGAAACTATGACCTCTTGATTCTGAAGTTACAGGTCTCATGAATTCTTCCCTATCAATTTTGTAGATTCCTATTACTATTTTGTACATGATCATATCACCTCTTTTTCTTATATCTTCTAGTTTTGGTATATTTAATGCCTCTAACCTCTCCTTGTAGCTCTTGTCCTTCAGTTCCAGTAGCCATTTGGTTGCATGTCTTTACACCTTTTTCAGTTTGTTGATGTGCTTCTTTAGATATGGACATCATGCAATCACAGCATAATCCAACTTTAATCTTACAAAAGTTGTGAACAGTTTCTTTAGAATTTTACCATTCATGAATTTCAGAAGCAATTCTGAAATTGAAAAGCATAGAATAGGCTCCTAGCACAATATTTTTTATGTGGTCCTCAGGTGACCGTTTTTTATCTAGAACCACCCCCTAGATCTCCTACGATATCAGAATTTTTTTTAAAGCTTTTTCACATAATTTGTAGGTTGTGTAGTCTATTTTCTCCTATTCTACATTACATAATATGGCATTTATTCACATTGAATTCCATTTGCTAAATGGTTCTCCATACACTTATTTTGGCCAGGTCTTCTTAACCTTTAAGCTGCTAAGAGGTCCCGAGGAGATTTACATCCTTGTGCGTAAGAAAAAAAATTCCTAAAAAATTATTTCGTCTTCTAAAAATGTTAATGTGTGTTCCCTGAGCATGGGAAAAATAAAAAATAAAAATCGTAGGTGACATATTTTGGGCGCAATAGGCTGAGGAAGTCTGGCAAAAAATGTAGGCATTGACAGAGCAGTCGTCAGAGCCGGTCAGCGTCACCCACGCTGACAGGTGGGAGTTACCACAAAGATATTATTACCTAATTATTTCAATGTCTCTGATTGATTTTTTCTTAGTTTTTTTGCAATAATATTACTCAATAGTGTGTATTGTGATATATTTATATAATAAAGTGGTGAATCATCGCTATACTCAAAAGTATGGTGTGCATAGTAGTGATTCAATTATTATGTTCGTAAAACAATAAACAAATAATTTTGCTGTTATTACACTACACACAGTTTATATATAAGTATCTGCATGCTTTGTTCACCATAACGAACAACTAAGTTGGTACTGTGAGTCGAAAAGCAATGAGGAGTGACCGCCAAACACAGCCACCCACTCGATGCCACTCCCTTAAAAACGCCTCACTCTCCAACTTTCTCCTCCCACCATCCTGTTTTTTTTTTATTTTACTCACTATATACAGACATTATATATAAGTATCTACATGTTTTCTTCACCACAACTGTACAACTAAGCTGATATAGTTAGTTTAGGCACTAAGAGACGTCGATACACACAGTCAGCTGGCAGCTGCCTCCCTCACATATTCAAGGTCACACGTACTAAATTTCTCTTCCAACAATACTGTTTGCAGTGTTATTACACTATATACACACACATTATATATAAGTATCTACATGCTGTATGCACTGTAACTGTACACCTAAGCTTGTAGAGCGCCCAAAGAGTATAGTGGCCACCCTCTACACAGCTAGACAAGTCATGCAGATGACGCCACCTCCGTCACCCAAATGGCTCCTCCCAGCATAATCCTTTTGCTGTTACTACACTAATACACACATTATATATAAGTATCTACATTTGTGTTCACCATAGAGAACCACTGAGCTGGTATGTGAATGCAGACAATAACAGGTGGCCACACAGTCGGTAAATGATGCTATCTTCCTCCGTCCCTCAGCATCGCCTCCCACAGCGCTAATTATCACAACAATCCTGCTCAATCATGACATATATATACTCCATGTGCAGTTTAAGGATTAAAGGGCATGACAATCATCATGTTTCTAGGGAAGATACTACGGAAGATAAGTTTCTTATCTTCCCTAGTATCTTAAATATAAAGGATAATATCCAGAGGTAAAGGATAATATCCAGAGGTTGAAATGGGAAACAGATTCATGGAAAATGAAAGGGAAATGTGTGAAATATTAAACAAAAAGTTCCAAAGTGTGTTTGTACAAAATGAAATCTTCAGAGAACCAGACACAATAAGAATTCCAGAGAACAACATAGAGCGTATGGAGGTGTCTAGAGATGAAGTGGAAAATATGCTAAAGGAGCTAAGTAGGAACAAAGCAGTTGGCCCAGATGGAGTTTCACCATGGGTTCTGAGAGAATGTGCATCTGAGCTCAGCATTTCACTTCACCTGATCTTTCAGGCATTCCTGTGTTCAGAAGTCATAGCAGACGTGTGGAAACAGGCTAACATAGTTCTAATCTACAAAAGTGGCAGCAGGGAAGACCCCTTCAATTATAGACCTGTATCATTGACAAGTGTAATAGTGAAAGTATTGGAAAAAATAATAAAAACTAAATGGGTAGAACACCTGGAGAGAAATGATATAATATCAGGCAGACAGTATGGTTTTCGATCTGGAAGATCCTGTGTGTATTGAATTTACTCAGTTTCTATGATCGAGCCACAGATTTTATAGGAAAGAGATAATTGGGTTGACTGCATCTATCTGGACCTAAAAAAGGCTTTTGACAGAATTCCACATAAGAGGTTGTTCTGGAAACTAGAAAATATTGGAGGGGTGACAGGTAAGCTTCTAACATGGATGAAAAATTTTCTGACTGATAGAAAAATGAGGGCAGTAATCTGAGGCAATGTATCGGACTGGAGAAATGTTACAAGTGGAGTACCACAGGGTTCAGTTCTTACACCGCTGATGTTCATTGTCTGCATAAATCATCTACCAGATGGAATACAGAATTATATGAACATGTTTGCTGAAGATAATAGGGAAGATAAGAAACCTAGATGATTGTCATGCCCTTCAAGAAAACCTGGACAAAATAAGTATATGGAGCACCACTTGGCAAATGGAATTTAATGTATATAAATGCCATGTTATGGAATGTGAAATTGGGGAACATAGACCCCGCTCAACCTATAAATTATGTGAGAAATCTTTTAAGAATTCTGACAAAGAGAGGGATCTAGGGGTGGTTTTAGATAGAAAACTGTCACCTGAGGACCACATTAAGAATATTGTACGATGAGACTATGCTACACTTTCTAACTTTAGAATTGCTTTTAAATACTGTACATGGATGGAGAAATACCAAAGAAATTGTTCACAACTTTTGTTTGAACAAAGCTGGAATATGCAGCGGTTGTATGGTGACCATATCTTAAAAAGTACATCAACAAACTGGAAAAGGTGCAAAGACATGCCAATAAGTGGCTCCCAGAACTGAATAACAAGATTTATCAGGAGAGGTTAGAGGCCTTAAATATGCAAAAACTAGAAGATAGAAGAAAAAGAGGCGATATGATCACTACGTACAAAATAGTAACAGGAATCAATAAAATTGATAGGGAAGAATTCCTGAAACCCAGAACTTCAAGAACAAGAGGTCATAGATTTAAAGTAACGAAACAAAGCTGCCGGGGAAATATAAGAAAAGATACTTTTGTAAACAGAGTGGTAGACGGCTGGAATAAGTTAGGTGAGAAGGTGATGGATGCCATAACCGTCAGTAATTTCAAAGCGTTATATGATAAAGAGTGCTGGGGAAACCATGAGCGTAGCTCTCATCCTGTAACTACACTTAGGTAATTACACAAGGCTTGGTTGCTTCCAGGTTGTAGCATTGGGGAGCAGCCATGAAAACTCTACCAAGGCGTGATTTGCTTGCAATCTCTTTGATGTCAAGCTATGCAATTATGCCTGGAGAGGCATTTTAGTTTATGTAACGACTTTTCTGTCAACATTCTTGGCTAGATTGATAATTCTCCAGAATCCCTATAGAACTAGAATGATCCAGAAGGAATATTTTGACACATTCTTCACTATGCCAGTGTGAAATGTCAACCTGCACTGCACCAGATCCTTAGCAGCAATCAGTAGGATCTTACCTTAGGGAATAGCAGAATATGATAATTTTAATTGATGAAATTATATAGATAAAATTTAGAAGCTAAAATAAATTTTGAAAAATTTAAACATCTATACTGTTTGACAAAAAATATTACAATATACTTTACAGAGCTGAACTTACTTCGCTTCATCTGTTCCTCTAAAGTATGCATGACACAACTCTTGGAATGCTACAGCAAGAGGGATAGTATCAGATAATCCTATGGTGAGAGGGGACGGACCACGTGAGGTGCCCACCATACTAGATGTTCGGAATTCTAGACTTGATACCGACTCTGCACGTGACAGTCCAGATACCGTGGAAGGACTCTGACGTCCCCTTGGAGATGGTCCCTGTTATTGAAAATAATAATATTAAACAGTCAAGGAAAGTATCCCAAACAAAACAAAATAACAGCAACAAAAAAGTATAACAGGAAAAATTGAGAGGTGGAGCTTTAATATCTTAACACTGAGCAAAAAGACTAAATCCATCAAGTGTACTCAAATGCCTACCAAGACATTTTGGTGCACAACACACACAACTTTGTTAACCCTTAACCCCCTGCACTGCATATAGCACATTAAGGCACTTGACTAGTGGTGGGCATAGTTCCTTTAAGCATTTTTAAATATATTGAAAGACTTAAAATGTCTACAGGTACACAGGGCTCACATCCTGTGCCTCAGGACTCGAGTAAACAAAAGCCATTTTGAAAAATAATCATATGCATCCCTCCTGGCTGTTAGTCTCAGTACTGCCAGAGCAACCAAGGCAGGCGCATACAGCAGGAGCAGCTCACAGCACAGTTATGCATGTCGGGGCCACACCACCGCTTAGTAATGATTACAGTAACTGCAATTATTTTGCAATGGCAGTGTCATACATGAGCTTGATTAATAAAATTCATGTACAAAGTTCAGATATCAGTGAACACAACGCTAGTTACAATGTTCACAGCAGGAGGCACACATTCACAACACACAGTCGAGGTTTTGTGACTATGCATCATGCATTGTGACCTCATGGTTACCTTGAGGTGCATCTGGGCTTAGCATTCCCGCGGCTCGGTCGTCGACCAGGCCTCCTGGTTGCTGGACTGGTCAACCAGGCTGTTGGACGCGGCTGCTCGCAGTCTGACGTACGAATCACTGCCTGGTTAATCAGGTATTCTTTGGAGGTGCTTATCCAGTTCTCTCTTGAACACTGTGAGGGGTCGGCCAGTTATGCCCCTTATGTGTAGTGGAAGCGTGTTGAACAGTCTTGGGCCTCTGATGTTGATAGAGTTCTCTCTCAGAGTACTTGTTGCAGGTTCGAAGGTTACGGGTTCGATTCCCGGCGGAGGAGGAAACAGATGGGCAGTTTCTTTCACTCTGATGCCCCTGTTCATCTAGCAGTAAATAGGTACCTGGGAGTTAGGCAACTAATATGGGCTGCTTCCTGGGAATGTTGAACAAAAAAGGAGGCCTGGTTGAGGACCGGGCCATGGGGACGCTAAGCCCTGAAATCGTCTCAACATAACCTCAAGATAAGGAAGACGGCATGACTGAGCCCATAGAGGTTTTCCAGGGCCCATTGAGTGAATAAGTCCTATAGGAAGCCCAAGCACTGGTGCCAGCTAAGCCAGTAAAGCCTTTCTAAAGCAGGCAAACTGACCAAGTAGCAGTTGTGAAACCTCGGGGGGGGGGATCAGAGGAGTACCACCACCACACCCTAGGCTATGCGTAATAAGGAGCTAGGCAGACCCCCTCCCCCCACAACAGGCGAAAATGGCAAAAGGAAAACAAAAGAAAAACCCCGAAATGATGCAACAATCAAACAAGTAGCTAGAGAAACATCGGCAGCTGTGTGATACCAATGCAATCTGTGTTAGCCGCAGCGAGCCCCACCAGCAAACAAACACACCCCTACCTGGAATAAAGCTGAAAGCCCAAGTCCCCCAACTTGTCCCAAGGGCGAGGACAACTACAAACAAGGAAGCCCTCTAATGGGGAATGTTTCCCGAATGCCCCAGGGAAGATAGCCCTAAGACGCAAAGGCAGTACTTACGGAGCACCTAGGGAAGGAAACCTTAGGCGCATGCTGCTTCAGTACTTCAAACTCCTGGCAACATGCACACATCCATTTCATAAAACTGCTGTAAGGGCAAAACACCAAAGAAAACACTGGGGGGAGGGGGGGGGGATTGCGCTAACACGCAGGGTGTTAGTTGGACAACATTTTGCTTGTTTGTTTGCTTCTTGAGGAAAATTCTTTTGCGCTTACGAGAACGTAACTTGCAATTTTTAACCAGACAGTGGTGTGTTTTGATTCGCCTACCTTTCTGGGTCCTTCCTAAGTCAATGGCAAGATCACCTACTTTAAATGTAAAGTGTTCATGGCCATCGCTCCTTTCACCTCTCTGAGGGGGCTAGATTCAGGTTCATGATCCCTGGTAGGGTTACAAGGACTCTGCCACTCAAGTAGAAGGCACTTGTTCAGTAGATCAGTAAGATAGCTTTAGGGAGCCCACAGGGCTCTCACCAGAAAATACAAGTGAACATGAGACTATGCTAAAAATAAAAATGAAATAGGAAGGATGGCTCCAATTGCCATTGGAAGCACAACAGTAAGGGGGCTTAAGTGAGTACCACTTATCTCTTCTATGGTTCTTATCTTTGGATAAACTTGTGTGATGTACAACTTTGTGTAGTCTATTTTTTATTCTCCACCTCCACAAAACCATTTAAAAAATATTGTTTCTCTATTTCTCCCTAACATCTACTATTTTTCTCATTCAATTCCCATCTACTTTACACTAGAATGCTCTTACACACAAGGTGATCTTACTTTTCATACATTTTTATTTCAAACTGCCATCAAGTAGCAACTTCTTTACCAATATGATAGCAAAACCACATGAAGAATCACTTAGCACATGTCCCAGATACTCTTTCAAGATCCTTTTACACTTGAGAAACTCTGACCTGTTTAGAAAATAATGTAAATGTAGCCACCTTCTCAGGGATGGGGCGTTCCCAGAGAGAACAAGGCATCCAAGATATACTCTATATAAATATATAAAACAAAATGCCAAAATATATACATAAACACCATTAATATAGCAAAGATACATAATAATTACCTCAAGAGCTTTACGTGAGGGAGGTCTTGGGATTGCCATGGTTGGGGTGGGTGTTGATCCACGGCTTGAGGATCCACCACCACCTGTCCTTGGTGGCAATGCAGGAGGAGCTTCAACGTCTGTCTCATTCAAAATATCACTTAATTCTGTAAAACAAAATACATATATTGAAAAAGCAACTTAAATAGAGGACAAGTATCATTAATCTACTTTCTTACCTCACTGTAAGCTGAAAAATAAGCATACCAGGAATAGGAAAGATGTCTATATTGTGCATCATCCATTCCATTGTTTAAAGGTCACATGTTAAAGATGCACATTTAACAAGCAAACATCAATTATATGATAGTCACCATTGTTATTAAGATAAATAACTTCCTTTGATTAACAATAAAACCACAATAAACTTGTTTTGAATTAAATGATAGACATTAACACTAAACATACAACATTTCACGTTCTTAACACTTTCGTTGCCATGGCAGGCGAGGCCCTGCACACCTCACGGTAGGCCCGAGCATTGCGCGCTAACTCACCACCATCCACATATCTTTATACTGTTTTAGCTTTCTGACCTCAATTTTAATGCTACATCATTCAATTTGGTATTAAAATGTTTGCATATGAATGTGCTAAAGGAATATGTGCATATAAGAACTTATAAGTCTTTCTTTCCTATACTTTAGACCCGCCACATACTGCAAGGTAGCGCGAGCATTGCCAGAGAGTTCACCACTCCAATGTTTATTCTCTTTTCAGCTTTCTGACCCCAATGTTCATGCTACATCGTTCAATTTGGTATCAAATTGTTTGCAATAGAATGCTGTAAAGGGATATTTGCATATGAGAACATCTGTCTCACTTTTCTATAATTTTGACGAAAACTCAATAACTTTTTCCCTCATAAGTGTTTCTTTCGATGCTTTCGTCATGGATTGGCTTTGTTCTCACCACGTGCCATGCTGTCATATGTGCAGCTCCCCCTTTCCCTTGAGGGGAAAGGAGGAGCCCCAGATCCCTCATGCCGGTCACCTACACCCCAGTTCTAAGACTGGATGTCAAAATCACAAAAAAAAAATGCCGACCGGAGAGAGGAAGGGACGCTGGGGAGCCTCCAGGTCTCACCCAGAAAATGACGTTTCATTACATTCAACACTGGTTTTCTGGGGAAGGGGGGGGGGGCCTTTGGTTTCCCGGAAAGCAGCCGTAACATTCTTCGCCAGAAAAGGAGGAGACTACTGCAAACGAAGAAACCTACCACCAGAGCAAAAAAAGCAGAAACCCCTGTACCAGAGGAGAGCATGAAGCTCCCCGAACCGACCCCCAGAGATCAATGCCAACAGGGAAAGAGCCCTGGAGAGAGAATCCTGAACCGAAGGGGCCACTACAAACTGAGGGAAAGAGAGATAAGAGAGCACCCTGTCAAACAACCAGAACGGCTCAGGCGGAGCATGAACAGGCCGGAGGTGAAACAACGCCCGAGACAGCTTGCGAAACGAAGCAGAAAGCAAGCTGCAGCGGCTCTGCCAGCACAACACGATACGAGGCGACAGTATTCAGCATAAGATGACAGTCCTAAAACAGCCATGAGAGAAAGAACAAGACCATTGTAACAGAAAGTGAAGTATACCTAAGAAGAGATAAAAATAAATGGAAGGATTGCTAGGAAAATTCATATTACCGCTGAGACGAAGCACGCAGGTGGGACACCATTAACGAAGCCACCTGATCATCATACAGATGGTGATAGACCCGAGTCGAAAATACCAGACGTGAAGACTCAAGGAGAAGATCGAACCAGCCATATAATGGACTGGACTGATGAGCTGAAAGAGGCATAGCTGCGGGAAAACCCCTTGGTTCGGACACTGAGCAAGCAGCGCCTGAAACCAAGGCGGGGCTGGCCACCAAGGAGCCAAGAGGACTACTCTTCCCTGGTAAATCTCCAAGCGAGCTAGGACCTGGAATAACAGTGGAACTGGGGAAAAGAGATACAGGTAAACCCACTTTGACCAGTCCCGCCAAAAAGCATCGACCCCGACGGCCTCGCAGTCGGAGAAGGAAGCCATATATACCAAGAGATGAATCGACCACGCTGATGCAAAGAAGTCTACCTCTGGGAGCCCATACTTCCGGCAGAGCCAACTGAATGAGACAGTGACGACTGTCCATTCCGAGGACAGGGGAATGAACGGAGACAGGCCATCTGCCAGGACGTTGGACACCCCGAACTTGAACAGCCAGGAGAGCCAAACCCCGAGAACTCAGCAGACGAGTCACCCAAAGCAAACTAGCCCCAAAGCCAAGGACGGCCGGCCGACCATGGCAACGAATGGTGGTTCGCACAGCGTTTCTCCCGTGAACATTTCCGATCCCTTTGAGGGGTTTCAGGACCTGTTGTTCCTTGGCACGCATTCCGGTTTCCGGTCTTGGAGGGGAATCTCGAGGGTATTTTTCTGGACAGTAAACATCATACTAAAGCTAATAGATTGGAGACGAAAAGTCGTCTGCATCCTGCGGTGCCCTGAGACTCCCAGCAACCCCTGTCTCCACACCCTCCATGTCAGAAGAGTTCTCCTGGCCTATGTACATTCATCATCACCTTTGATGCCAATACGCCCGCTGATCGGAGTGTTTTTGGAAATAGTAGGGTCCGAAATCTTTTCTACCAAGCCATTCCCGGGTTCTTTAAGATCGAGGTGCAAGATTTCAGGCCGAATAAACGCAGGAACTTGATTGCAGTGGAGCACGCTCCCTCCGGGGACTTGGTGCTTTCGGACATTACTGATATCTGTGGTTACAAAGTTCGTTGTTATACGCCTCTGGGTGACCGTTTGGTACGATATGTGGTCCGGCATGTTGTTGACGTTAGTGCAGACGACATCAAGGTGCAACTGCAGGATGCTGACCTTCCGATCTTTGGTGTCAAGAAATTTATGCATCAGATTGATGGCGACCTGTATGATACCGGCACTGCCCTTCTTACTTTTCTTGACTCCCTCCCCCGTGATTGGGTTTGGATTAATGGCTTCCTTCATAAATTGGAGGTGTACGTCCCCCATCCCACTCTTTTGTTGCAAGGGTTTTCACCATACCTCTCTTGGCTGCACCAATGACGTCCATTGTGGCAAATGCTCTGGCTCCCATTTCACTCGTGACTGAGTCCTACAACCTCTGTTGCCCCAATTTTGGTGGTGATCATGCCATCACTTTCAAGCAGTGTTCTTCCTACGTTGCGGCATTCACTAAGGTTCTTCTCGTCATCACTCCACCCTCCAGTTGTACTTTGCCTCATCTTGCCCCAATGCCTAGTCACTCGCCGCTTCTCCCTCCGTCGCCGCCTTTGCCTGTGCCTGACCTGTTTGTCATTGACGTTCCTCTCACCCCTGAGGCTTCTTCTCTCCCACCCGCCATTCAACTGAGTCCCTATCTTGTTGACGCTATTGTCCCTCGCGTTGTGGATGCACTCGAGACGGTGCTGGTCTGCCTTGGACTGCGGAAAGAATTTAGTGACTTTTCCTGTTAATGAGGTTGACCCTTTGCTTCTCTCTTCCGCTTCTTCTACGGTTGACGTCCATCCACCCACACCTGCCTCTGCTATCTCCAAAGTGTTTGAATCGACACTGGACAACGCCCTTTGAAAATCTTTAGCGAACCTTCCCAGGCTGCCTTGCTGCACGTCTCTGCCCCCGGAACTAAGCAGAAGCACTCTTCTGTCGTCCCGATTTCCAAGCGCCCTGCCACCTTCCCTGATTGGCAGGGAAGGTGGCAGGGCGTGAATATACTTCACGTTCTCCCACGACTTGTCCTCGTGCCCTTAAAAGGTCTTCCTCCCATTGTCCTGCTGGGGTTTCTGTGGAGTCCAATGCGTTAGCGTCCCAGTCGTGAGGCTCTGGATGCTGTCTACGTACCTTGCCCTGTCCTAACCATGCCTGTCCTGTCTTGACGTCCTCTACCCTTCTTGAGGTTATCTTGACATGATTTCGGGGCTTTTAGTGTCCCCGCGGCCCGGTCCTCGACCAGGCCTCCACCCCCAGGAAGCAGCCCGTGACAGCTGACTAACTCCCAGGTACCTATTTACTGCTAGGTAACAGGGGCATTCAGGGTGAAAGAAACTTTGCCCATTTGTTTCTGCCTCATGCGGGAATCGAACCCGCGCCACAGAATTACGAGTCCTGCGCGCTATCCACCAGGCTACGAGGCCCCCTCACACATTCGCTCTTTGTACCTTCCTCTGCTCGTACCCCCCCCCCCCCCACTTCCTTTCTCATGTCTGCTTTGCACTTGCCTTCTTCACATCCTTCGCCTCCTGCCCTTCATCTATTGCCTACGTCCCTCGCTTTCTTTACTGCGGCGACGTTTTGCGTTCGCCTTCTGTTCTCTTTATTCCCATCCTGCGTTCCTCTTGTTAAGTTTGGCTTTATCCTTACCCACCTTGATGGCATCGTTATCTTCTTGACTCAGGCACGTCGTGACCGTTGATGTGTTGTTGTGCATTGTCATATACGCATCTTTCTCCATTACCACTCGTGTGGTCATTGGGAGGATATACATTCTTGCAAACTGCACATATTACGAAGAAGAAGAAGAAAGCCAAGGACCGCATCGAACCCCCTCAGTTCAGGCAATGAACCACCAGGGAGCAGTCTGAATGGAGCCTGATTGTCGATCCGCAAGCGACCCAAACCCTCTGAAGCGACATCCACATAGCTGACCAAAGAGCCAGAGCTCAACCCCCACAAGCACAAATAGGTGAGTACAGCTGCGAACTCTGCAACATGCTGTGGGGCCCAACGGAAGGACAGACCCCACTGCCCCTAGCTGGCCTGGGGAGCACTGGTCACAAAGCCCCAGCCAGGAGATAACACATCCGTGAACACATCGAGAGAGGGCTCGGGTAGGCGCCAAGGAACTGAACCCCGAAAAAGCCAAAGAGGAAGCCGGTGATGCAGCAGCCAATGCAAGGCCCCTGGACACAAATTCGAATTCGGCGATCACAAGAGAGGCAGAAGGGAAGACCCTGAAAGAGCCAGAAAAGCCGACAAAGCCAAACCCGACCCAGCGGTTAGATCATCACGACAAAGATCAGGCTCCCGCACAACCCTTGAGTATCTGCAGGACGACACGGAAGCCCAAAAAACAAGCA